CAACAAAGGTCTAGAGGAAAGGGCCTGATGGTCAACAGTGGATGTCGAGGACCTCATGTTAACTTGGAGTCTTGTCAACATTGCTGTCACAGTCATTACATTTTTGTTAGAGATTAATTGTCATACAGTCTAATTTTGTAATGTCATTTACATGCCCACATGCTGAATTAGGTAACAGTGATAATGCCCTGTTAAAATATTGCATAAAATATGTTTTTTGAAGAATGAACACATGATGGAGGATAATGGTACCTCAAGTAACTGTTAGTTGTACTGGTAATTTAGGGATTTTTTGACTACTGCAGTTTTAAAAGCGGATTCATGAATGCCTCTTGATGTGATAGTTAAGTGTGATAGTTCTCATACATCTCTTGTTTGTTGATAAAAAATAGTTTATTCTATGACAAGCACTTTACACAGTTTATACTGTAGGTATTGAGTGATATTTATTTATTTATTTGGGTATTATAATATTTATTTGGGTAGTTTTTCAGTTGACATTCTTTTGTGTAACTGCATCTAAAAGTATTTAACAGCATTTTGTTAATTATGTTTATGTGGATTTATTAATTGAACTGAATTGCATTGTATTACATGTAAATATAACGTAATATTTGCAAATATTCAGTATGATTAAAATAGAGAAAAAACTCACATAAAATATTTATTTCTTTATAAATTGTATTTAAATGAATTAAATAATAAATTGATGTATTATATATATTAATATATTAACAGAATTATAGGCAGGTGAACGGGGGAGGATCCATAGATCAATGTCTTTTTTTTATTTTTTGCTTTACGGACTGTGTTATCCTCTGCATCACAAATACTATCAAGCCCTACTGTGAGTGTGTTAACATATTAGGCCAATTAACATCAGCCATGTCTTAATGTAAAAGAGGTATTCAGGTATATTTTTTAAAACTCATGCAGATTGCTGTATTTAATTGTCTCTATTGTGTTTGATATCGTTAACCTGATAAGAGTAATAATATTGTCTGGACGACACTACAGACAATTGTTTTGGTCTCTCCACTTATCTTCAGTTTTATACTGAAACTTTTTTTTCCCCAATTAATTCGGCATGCTCTTCCCTCCTGCTCAGATTACCTATTAAAGCAGGGATCTAACAGTCACACAGATAGGTTATAGATCAATCTGACATTATTGAGTTATTATCACGAGTAATCAACTAGTAAATCATTGCCAGTTAAAGGAGATTTGAGTGGATGCAAACATTAAATATGCATAATTTGCAAATAAGCAAATTTAATAATAATCCTAATGCAGTATAAGAAGATTAAACTTTCCAAAATGAATTAACAATTTGATGCATGAAGTCCACTACAGTGGACAGATCTTTAAAAGACATTTTTAACCATTCAGAGTATGATGTTACATCTGAACCATCATGAATGACTACCTTTTACTCTTTTATTTTGTGTTTTTTATTTATGATACAAAATGGCTGACAAACGTGGTTATAAATCAACAACAATCCCAACAGTGTCTAATTAAAAAACAACTGCATAAACATTTTTAGATCTCTTGTAAATCCTCATAGAATTAGGCATTAAATCTTTTTAAATTATTTATTGCAGATGTTGTCTTTAGCATGCTTAGCATTTTCCGTAACACGTGAAAAACTTGTGAACGCATGAAACGTATATACAAATCATATGTTGCTGTTATCTATTCTATTTACTAAACTATTCTATAATCTAAAATATTTACTGGCTGCGTGATCCATCTGTCAGATAACTAGCTGTCCACTAGTTGTTTATGTGCAGGGTAAAAATGCGGATGTGCATTTCTTTATAACTCCCAGTGCGGCCATTATTGTTGTGTAATGTGACAGCAGAGGAAGCAAAACGCTGCACAGAACACTATGAGAGCTCCAATCATGAGAGAGGGATTTACCACTGAAACTGATTACCGCCTATTTTTTTAACATTATTTATTTCTTTGTTTAGAAATAATGGCTTGTTTTTTTCTGTAATGCAGTTGAAATAAAAGTTTCCCCACAATGAAAATACTTTGATAACGTATAGATGTAAAAATGTACAGAATTGGAGTAACTACGTAGTGTCCTACATTGCTTAAATTAATTATGTAGGAGCCAATTTTTTTTTTGGTTGCCAAGTGACATCATTGCTTGATATAGATGGTTGCATTTTTTTTTTTTTTTT